ACATATTCAAAAGAGTGTGAGTTCTAAAGACATCAACAGGTGTTCTACAAGTTTGCACAGTACTAAGTTTTTTCAGTAAATGATAAACTCTGGGCTTGTTGGCAGATAGCGTATAAGAACTATCTCTAAACGACAAATGCCATGCTGCCATAAGTGATAAACTCTAAGCTTGTCGGCAGGTAGCATATGAGAACTACCTCTAAACAACAAGTGCGGTTCTTCTTACGCCCTTTTCTCACGTTTTACTTTTTTCTTGCAGTACGTTACTGTTTTTTAGTCAAAAAGTTTTTCAGAAAAATATAGTCCAGATGATCGTCGAAAAGAGTGTGGAATGAAAATAATGATTAGATACATATTTTAAAATCGGATTTAGTGAATAAGTATAAATAATATATGTTTTATATTAAATGATATTGGTAAAATTTTTAATTGAAGTTTATAATTTCAGACTATATTATTATTAATCGAGTTATTTAAAAGAAGTTCGAATGTGATATGGCATCACGAACACCCATGGGTGCTATTTTTCGAATATGTATATAAAAGAATTACTCGATATTTACTTGAAATTGGCGCAACTACTTGTTTATTATTTTCGCCCATGTGACCAAAATGTAAAATTCTTAATATATTTTATAATACCAACACGTCCTAATAACCCTAATATTACATAAAATAAAATATAATAAATAAAAAAATAATAAAAAGTGAAAAATATGCTATTTTTCACTTTTTATTATTTTTTTATTTATTATATTTTATTTTATGTAATATTAGGGTTATTAGAACGTGTTGGTATTATAAAATATATTAAGAATTTTACCTTTAGCAGATCTAAAAGACCCTGACGATCAAAATGAGCTACAGTACATTATAATCAGGCAAATAGATAGTCAGATAATCGATAAACAGGGTACTAGAAGATCTAATACTATTTTTATTTTGTTATACAGTTTTATTCTGTTATTATTTTTGTCTGTTATTTTATTATTTTTGGACTTTATTTTGTCATACTGGAAAATCTGATTAACAAGATAGTCAAAAAATCTAATATTATTTTTATTTTGTTATACTGTTTTTATTCTGTTATTAATGTTTCTTAATATTTCTTTATATTTTTTATAGTTTTTTAATATTTCTTTATGTTTCTTATGGTTTTTTAATATTTCTTTATGTTTCTTATAGTTTTTTAATATTTTTTTATGTTTCTTATAGTTTCTTATTGTTTCTTTAGGTTTTTTATAGTTTTTATTATTATTTCTTATTCTTTTGATATATGTTGTAAAAGATATATAAACCTTGCTTTTTCTTCTTAAACAAGACAAGTTTTTCTTAACTTCACTTTAAGGTTTTGGAGATATAAAAATATTTCTTTTTGGATTCTTTTATATTGAATAAAGATATTATTTTTTTGCTTCTAAAAGTTTCTTTGGAATATATTCACTGTATTAAGTGTTTTTATTATTTTTTTATTATTTTTGTTTTTATTTTGTTTTTGTTTTGTTGTTTTGTTTTTCTTTCTCTGTTTATTCACATTTCTTACTCTTGGCACGTTATCAAGTAGTATAGTTACTGCTACCAAAATGACTTTACTACAGTTTGGCGACGACGCTTTAAAAACTTCTGTGCAGATTGTGATTTTTTTTTTTTTTAATTTAATTTTTTTTTTTGGATTAAAATTATAAGTTATTTTTTTTATTAAAATTATTTTTTTTTTAGTTTCTTTTTTTCTTTCTTGTTCTTCTTTCTTGTTCTTTTTTTTTACTTCTTCTTGTTCTTTTTTTCTTTTTATTTGTTAGTTTTTTTTTTTGTATAATATTGTTTGTGCTAATCATCTTCTTGTTATATGTAGTACCATTGTACTACCTCAAAAACTATAGTTATATTTTTTATATATCATAGTTTTTGTAACAATCAGGTGATTCCAAAAATCATATTTTTGAACAACGTTATACAAAATTTTTTTTAAGTTTGCAATTTCTATATACTGTTTATTTTGTTAATTTTTAATATTATTTTTATTTATAAATTCTATTTAGAATCAAAATTTGTTTTTTAAATAGTTTTTTTTTATATATAAACTCTTTTTTTTTTAAATATTCTCTTGTATATAATTATAATATAGAGTGATAAGCTAAAATTGTAAATAATACTCTGGCAAGTATTAGCTTTATAGTATAAATTTTATTATTTTGAAAATATAAAGTGATTGCTGAAATCGTGAATAGTACTCTGGCAAGTACTAGCTTTATCATTTTCAGTTCTTTAATTATAATATAAAGTGATAGCTGAAGTCGTGAATAATACCTTGGTAGGTATTAGCTTTATATTGTAAAAAATCTAAAAAGCCAAATATAGCCATCAACAGTTTGTTTATTAGTACTTCTTCCTCTAGTTATATTTTAGAATATCTCTAAGTCTAAGTATCTAATACTCCTTGGAAAACTAGTACATAAAGGTCAATAAATTAAACCCCTTATCTGTCTATTGAAGGTCTTATAATACCTTTGAAGGCTATTAAATTTAGATTTCTATTGCTATTATTTTTTTTTTTTTGTTTTTACTCTTATATTTTTTTATTTTTATTTTTTTATTATTATTTTATTTTTATCTTTATTTATTTTATTTTTATTTTTTTTTATATTTATATTTTATTTATTTAATTAATTATTTTTTTATTTTTATTTATTTATTTTTTTTTATTTTTATTTTTATTTTTATTTTTTTTATTTTTTTTGCCAAGTTCTTCTTTCTTTATTCTTATTTTTTATTTTTATTTTTATTTTTTTATTTATTTATTTATTTATTTTATTTTTTTGGAAACTTAATTTTTTTTTTTCTCTATACAAACTTTTTCTCAACAAACCTTTGATTTTTCTTGGAAATATTTTGAGTATATTTCTACTAATAAGCAATACTTTGATCTTTGTCAAGAAATTGAATTAGCTGCTTCTACACTTCAATCTAATACTTCTCTAACTTCTAAACAAACCTCTCTTCTCTTTGATTATTTTCAATTTTGTGGATTTTCTTGGGCTAACGGAAGAAACCCTCAAACAAAAAGATCTTGGGACCAAGAAGAAATAGTTGACCAAGATTTCAATACAACTTATACACCAATATATTATTTGGAAGCACCTAATCCTGACAACCCAACTGGTACTATTTATCAATTACCTAATCGCCAACCTCAACAACTAAAGGTTCATTTCTATACTGCTGCTGAATTCTTCAACTTAAATCGCTACAAACAAGAAATACAACAGGGTATAGTTTCTAAGGACGGTATTAAGCAGCTATATTAATTTTGACAACAACACGAATTTGCAACCGATCTTGATTAATTCTTTATAAATATTGCTCTATATCAAAATTGAATTTGAGAGCATAAATTTTTACACGATACTAATCAAGTAGTTACAAAATTAAGATATGATTCAAGACCAGATTCTAGCTGTCCTGAGAGCAACTCTCCTGAACTTAGTTCACGAAATTTAAATAAGTTTATAAAATTTTGGAGTTGGTTTAATCAGAAGTATCAAGCTATTTATTTTACTTGTATAATTGTTGATACTTTTGAAAAGACATATCAATCTGTAAAGAATGAACAATTCTTTGAAACTCTTATTCATTTGTTATTAACTACTATTCGATATAATAATAATCAACCACCTAAAGAGTTTAATTAAATAATATCAGAAGTAAAAGCTAAGTGGATAGCAACAAATAAATTTAACTATTCATCTAAAAATTCTAAAAAATCTAATCAGGAAACTGACACTGAATCTAGACTTAAAATTTCATATTCAGAGTCTCTTTCAACTAATCCTTCTGTAAATAAATTAAATAAAAAGTTTGAAAAAGCAAACAAGCAAATTCAACAAGATATAAGCTGAGCTAAAACTATTATTGGACAACTAAAAGACAATTTGAAGCCTACAGAAACACCTTTGGTATCAACTTCTCAAAATCCTCCTCTAAATATAAATAATCAAAATAAAGATACTAAATCTTTAAATTTTGAAGAAGCTTACTTTAATACTATTAATCAAAGAAGAAATATGTCTCGACATACAAGGTTAGAAGGAAATTATCTACGTATTACTCATATAAATAATAGACCAACTGTAAAAGAACAAACTAATATGTATATTCCTGATGATTCTCATAGAATGGTTGAAGATCGTAGAGCACCAGTTGACTTTACCAATATGCATCAACACTAAGCACAAAATCAACAACAAACTCCTCCTCCTAAATTTGATAATCAACAAACACTTCAAACACTTTTAAGAGGCATAAATGAAATGTTTGAAAGTAATGCTGCCCGAGCTGCAGTAGCAACAACAAAT